GGACAATGAATAAGGAAGACCAAAGAAGAGTTGATGCTTTTGAGTTGTGGTGCTGGTGAAGAATGCTGAAAGTATCATGGATTGTTAAAAGAACTAACAGATCTGTCCTGGAGGAAATGCACCCGAATTGCTTCTTGGAAGTGAGAATGGCCAGACTTCATCTCACCTATTTTGGTCATGTTGTCAGAGGGGATGATTCCTTGGAGAAGGATGTCATGCTTGGTAGGGTGGAGGGTTGACGAAAGAGGGGGAGGCCTTCAACGAGGTGGATTGACACGGCTGCGACGATGGGCTCAAGTATAGCAGGGATTGTGGAGCTGGTGTGGGATCGGACAGTGTTACGTTCTGCTGTGCATGGGGTCGCTATGAGTCGGAAACGACTCGACAGCACCTAACAACAACAACAACAACAATCTTCAAAGGATTGAGAGACAGACTAAGGAAAACACTGACAAATTGAGGAAAACGGAGAAAATCCTAGAACAATTTTGAAAGACAATATAAGAACAAAATGACAAAATAAATGAAAAATTAGAAATGATACAAAATCTACACATAGAAATCCAGAAGATTACTACTAAATTTTCAGAAATAGATAAGACATTGAATGGGCAAAGGAGTAGAATTGAATCAATGGAAGAGAGAATTAGATTGAAGGCAAAAACCTCAATACTTTTTTGGAAAGGGATCAATTGGGAAAAAAGATCAAAACAAAATGAAGAAAGCCTAAGGTTCATGTGAGATACCATCAAAAGGAATAACCTGTGTGTCACTGGAATTCCAGAACAGGAAGAGACAAATAAAACCACAGAAAAAATTGTCGATTTGCTGGAAGAGAATTTCCCTGGTGTGATAAAAGATGGGAATATATCCATTCAAGAAGTCCAATGAACCCCAAACAGGAGACTCCAAAAGAAAATTGCCAAGACATATCATCTTCAAACTCACCAAAACGAAAGACAAAGAATCCTGACAGCAGTACAGGAAAAACGAAAAGTTACCTACAAGGGGCAACCAGTAAGACTAAGCTCAAATTTCTCAGCAGAAACCATGCAGGCGAGAAGACAGTGAGATGGTATATATAAAACCCTGAAGGAGAAAAATTTCCAACCAAGAGTTATGTACCCAGCAAAATTGTTCCTCAAATATGATGTCCCATATTTCCACATAGAAATTAAGGGAATTTGTTAAAACCAGACCAACCTTACAAGAGATGCTAAAGGGAGTCTTGGACAGAGAAGCAACAACAGCAAACAACAACTGACCATTAACACACACGATGACTTAACCCAGAAACCAACCCAGCTATGGAAGTATCCAAAGTAAATAAGCCTACAAGTTGTAAACAAGGAACCACAGACATTAACTGACAAATGAGGACAACTACAAACCAAAAAGGGAAAAAATAGTGTAGTTACAGAACTTCTAAATGGTAGGGAAGTCAAGACAACTACAAGATAGAACAGACTGTTCTAACTTGGGAAGAAAACTATAAATCACAGGGTAACCTCAAAGAAAAATGATAAACCTTTACATCAAAATTAAAAAGAGGACCAGCACAAACATTTAGCAAATACTAAAACAATAGCAATGAAGGAAGTGATAATATGATTCACAAACAAAATGAGCTCAGCGTAGAAGATTATATGGAACAAAGAAAACACATAAAAGCACATAACAAAAATGACAACAACAAATTCATATTGGTCAATAATTACATATCTGGCAAGGGACTTATCTCTGAGATTTATAGAAAACTACTATGCCTCAACAGCAAAGGGATTAACAATCCAATTGAAAAATAGGCAGAAGACACAAATAGACATTTCACCAAGGATATTCAGGTGGGCAGCAAATACATGAAGAGATGCTCATGATCACTGGCCATCAGAGAGATGCAAAAACAATAATTCTCAAATTTCACCCCAGCACTGATGGCAAGGTTCAACAAGACAGAAAATAACAAATCTGGTGGGAATGTGGAGAGATTGTGACTCTCATACACTGCTGGTGGGACTGTGAAGTGATACAACTGCTGTGGAAAGCAGTGTGGCGATTCCTTAGAAAGCTGAAATTGGAGATACCATTTGACCCTTCAATCCCATTACTAGGTATATATCCTAGAGAGGTGAGAGCCAGGACAGGAATGGATATATGCACACCCATGTTCATCCCAGCACTATTTACAATAGCAAAAAGATGGAGACAACCTGCGTGTCCATCAATGGAAGAGTGGATCATTGGAACAGTGGGTGACCAAACTATGTACATACATATAATGGAATGCTATGCAGCACTAAAGAATAATTTAGAGTCTGCAAAACACCACATAATATGGGTGAACCTGGAGGACATTATGCTGACTGAAATAAGTCAATCACAGAAGGACAAAT